TTTCACTAAATTTTGGGGTGGGTTTTTGAAAGAAGTTACTTGATTTATTTGATCAAAATACAGTAACAAAAATCAATATTGTAAAATATTAAAATTAAAACATGTTTTCTATTTTAATATATTTTATATATTTAAAATATTTCTGTGATGAAAAAGGAAGATTTTCAGTGATCCTTCAGAAATTATTTTCAATAGGCCTATTTTGATTTCACGCTGAAAAAAAAATTCTTATTATTATCAGTGTTGAAAACAGTTGCTTAATACTAGCTATGCTGCTTAATATTTTTGTGGATATATTTTTGTCAGGATTCCTTAATGAATAGAAAGTTCAAAAGAACATTTATTTGAAATAGAAACTTTTTGTTTATTTATAAAACATAAATGTCTTTACTGTCACTTTTGATAAACCTAATGCATCCTTACTCAATAAAGATAATCATTTCTTTAAAAAAAAATCTTAATGTGTACATACGTATATGAATGAACGTATATGTATATTTCATTGAACCTTTTTCAATTCTCATTTACACTCCTTTGAGATTGGTTAATTTGAGAAGTGTCTGTCATCTTGTGATAATGTAAATGTAAGGGATTCTCTGACAGCTTCGTTCAAAACATGTGGACGTTCAACTTGTACAATCTTTCATTCTTCATACTGCAGCTCAAATCCAGAAGTTCTATATTACAGTGGAAAAATTAATTGTTGAATATGTTATCCCAAACTTAAGTGGAATGTCCTCAGCACAGCATGAGAAAAAGACATCTAGGGACAAGAAGTTAGAATTTTTCTGGAACACTAGGACGCTGAACACGAGTGTCTTGAGACTCAAGAGTTTTCTCTGTTTTGCTTCTATGTTGAGGTCTTCTATTTTTAATATTGAGGTCACAGCGCCTAAAATTTGAATACTTGGATTAAAAGTTGATATTAATGTCTCATCTAATTCAGAGGCTGAAATTGATCTAGTTGGGATAGCCACATCGATCTCCATATTAATGCAGTGTTATTCAGTGCATGTGACAGTTGTTGGAGAATGCAGTGGCAGGCAGCTGCAGCGCACCAAACAATCAATCATCCACATTCCTGAGAGTTTAGTCCCGTCTGAAAGATTCATTTGTTTTGAGAAATTCCTTCTTGGGCTTGAGTGTGTGTATATGTTTGAGACAACTTCATCCGAAAAACGTAATTCCTCCTAGTGTCAGTTTATGCAAAATTTAAAGCTTCCATTTCTGTACTGTAGGTATGGTAAGAGCTTGCCTTGAGCTATTGATGTCTTCCTTAACTAGCTTTAATGCACAGGGGACATGATGGCAGCCCTTCATATTGCTCTTAGGAACCCTCCAATCAACAGCAGGAACCCAGCAATAAAGGTACAGACCATTTGACCAAGAATTACATTTCAGAATAAAGCATATGGGGCGCAGACTGGACGATTGCATCTTTCCTGTCTTTCATTCTCTCAGGAAAGAGCTCAGGCTGTTGTATTGAGGGTTCTGACATCATTTAAGAGCAGCGATATAGAGCCCGCTGTTAAATCTCTCAACAAGAATGGAGTTGATCTTCTCATGAGGTACATCTACAAAGGCTTTGAGAGGCCCACAGAAAATAGCAGTGCCATATTGCTGCAGTGGCATGAAAAGGTAAACCCAAGCTATCAAGTGTGAGGGAAAAAAAACATTATTTTGTTTTACACCAACCATACTGTTTTGGAGGGCTTTAAATAACATAAAAACATTTTTCTTTCTGTCTTTTATAACAGGCATTTGCTGTTGGAGGACTAGGCTCTATTGTTCGCGTTATGACAGCCAGGAAGACTGTATGACTACCTGACCGAACCTGGAGACAGTGACGCTGTCACACCGAGGACACGAGGCAGGTTTGCCTTTCGCTTAAAGGAAAGAAGAAAAGACCATTTTGAATGCTTCTGTCTTGGAGGGAAAAAAAAACTATGAACTGTAAACTGTAGAGAAACACCGAAGCACTTGTTTCAAACTGAAAAAAATTTGCTTGTGTAAAAGTGAAGTAATGTTCATATGCCAATATAGCATAAATTGTTGTATGATATACTGGCATCAAAAAGATTTCAATCCGACATGGTTTTGAGTGAGAAGAAATGTACTGTGGAAGACAAAACAAACCCGGTGTATGTGCTATGAGTACTATGGTAAATACAGCATATTTAAGATCAGGTGAATGAGAGCAGCAAAAGTGAGCTCGTACATATGAGGTTGTTATTGGATTTGAAGTGTTTTCTGTGCTAAAAAAAAAAAAAAAGTTAGATTTAACTTTTTTATTTTATTTCACATCTTTGGTCCCATACTCTTTTGTTTTGTTTTTGTGCATAGATTTAATAATGGAACCAGTGATGGGGTACAGAATGAACACCAAAGGGGTAGAGACTGGGGATCATTGTAAAGTGCCTGCTACATTAAAGTAAATGGATCTCCTTTATGTCGTCATCTGTGTTTGATTTACTTTTGCTGTAATCTCACTGTTGGGCCCAGGAGCTGCATATATAAATGTCTAATGTTTTCCACATAGTCTATATATTTATATGGACTGAATATAATATTTACGTTTTTATTCCTGGGAATTTGAAAATGTGAGGAGTTTTGCAATGCCGTCTTAATTAGGCATGCACTGATACTAAAAAGTCTGGCTGACGATTATTTGTATGTTATGGCTGATAAATGGTCTATACTATGGAAGGCTGTTTTCGCAACTGAACTTAAACAAAAAAAAGGTAATTGTGACTTTTTATCTCACAATTGTGAGTTTACAGCTCGCAATTGTGAATTATTTTTCTTATTGTGAGATATAAACTCCGTTGCGAGTTATAAAGTCAGAATTGCGGAATATAGACTTACAATTGTGAGAAATAGTCAGAACTGTGACTGACTTGTAACTCAATTCTGACTTCATTTCTCAGAATTGCGAGTTTATATCTTACAATTCTGAGAAAAAACTGCAAGATGTAAACTCGCAATTGTGAGAAAAAAGTCAGAACTGTGAGAAGTCGCAATTACATTTTTAATTATTTTATTCAGCGGCGGAAATGGGCTTCCATACTATACAGTATTAATCTAAATAAAATACTAAAAACTAAAAAATAATTTAAATGCTATAAGCATTGCAACACTATAATGAATATTGGATTTAAAAATGAATTCTGAAATTTTATAAGGATTTTTAAAAATAAATGTATGACTTTTTTTTGTCATGACAAATTTATGAAAAAAATAAATGACTGATGCTCATTTTAAGTAAATGAGCGTCAGATGATGGCAACGATGTTCTAATGAACATAACAAATGTGCAATACTGAATGATATTAATAGATGGAAATATATTTTAAATATCTAAAATATCATGCACCCCCAATCTTAATCATTTCTGTATCAGTTATAGTGCTATTACTACATAAAACGGATGAAGGAACACCACAAATTAAACAAAACATTCATAAACTTTTTAATGTTCTTAAATAGCATTCTTAAAAACAAAAAGCTTGCATGTTTGGTATCATCACATTTTTTCTGTATTCTTTTTTTTCTGCATTTAACAACAAACATCAAATATAATTTGGCAACAGATAAGACAAAACAGTTTAGTGATTAAAAACACATGACAATTGGACAATGCAAGTATGCTCAACTAGCAACTCTAGAACCCCTTAACTTATAAAGAAAGAGTATTCTGACCATTACATCATTTTTGAAAATGTTCCCTCCCACAACAGTAGGAACTGGTAGAAATCACCCGTACTACACCTTAGATCTGGCCCCGTGTTTACAATAGAAAACAAATGCAGTTGATTTTCTTTCTGTTCCTTCCAATCATGACCCCTAATGCATATACAGGTTGCATTCAAATGGAGCAGGGGGCATCAACATTTAACAGATTAGCTAATTAACATGCAATTGGGCAATTGTTAAGAAACACTTTGTTAAAATGATTTTTAAAAGGGTATTGCATTTTCTCCTAAATTTTAGGTTGGTAGGTTTCTGTTGTGGTACATTTCACGTTTTCAAGTGCTTAAAGTCTGTATTCACCCCTGTGCTCTCAGCTAAATGATGTGGTGTGAATACAGCACTATACTGGGACAGTCCCAGCAAGAACATGCCGGGTTAATTTACAGGTTCCTGGAAAGTTATACACATATACTAATACAAATTAAATAAGGCAAAAACATTTGACAGTCCACCAGTCAAGGTCAGACAACTAGACAGAGAGGAAACAGTGACATCCACCATCTGTTTCCCTCTTCATCTCCATCCAGCCCTTCTCCATTTGGCAAACTAAAACAACAAAATAAAAAAAACTAGGCCGTAAAACAAATTTGTGCCTGCAAGAGCACAGACAACTCTGTTTAAGAGCTCAATTTGGGCAGTGGATATTCCATGGGAAGGTTAATTGTGTTTGGCAGTGATTTGTTCGTTAGCAAACTTCTCTCTTTTCATACAAGAGGATTATTCAAAAAAAAAAAAAAAAAAAAGATGCGAGTGGAAGCAGCTACGGGCAAAAATATCAAATAGAGACAGAGAGATGACAGGGTACTAGAATCGTATGGGACATTGTTCTCTACACATGCAAGAATCTTTTGGTCCCATTCGAATGGCCATGATCAACCCTGCAGTTCGGGGGGGAAAGTCGTAAACGTTGAAAAATCAGTCACCATGTGTGGCGTTTTCTTAGATCACAGACGGAGAAAATGATAAGCTATTTGCCAAGCGTGACATAACGGAATGATCAGACATGCCTCTTGCCTACAGCACAATAAATAACTCTTTGACAAACTTCTCTTTTTTAAAAAAAAAAGAATATAAAAAAAAAAAAAAAAAAAAAAGATGCGAGTGGAAGCAGCTACGTGCAAAAATATAAAATAGAGACAGAGAGATGACAGGGTACTAGAATCGTATGGGACATTGTTCTCTACACATGCAAGAATCTTTTGGTCCCATTCGAATGGCCATGATCAACCCTGCAGTTCGGGGGGGAAAGTCGTAAACGTTGAAAAATCAGTCACCATGTGTGGCGTTTTCTTAGATCACAGACGGAGAAAATGATAAGCTATTTGCCAAGCGTGACATAACGGAATGATCAGACATGCCTCTTGCCTACAGCACAATAAATAACATCGGAATCAAACTTAAATAGTGCAAGTAAAGTGCAAGGCTATTATTGTAACCGTTTTCATCGTAATTATCATCATGACGTAGTGAAACACTGAACACTTCTTATTAGACCGATGCAGTGCACTTGTCCTTGAGACAGATGGGGTTGTGAAAGAGGGACGCTCTTATGCCATGATCCTTGGAATGTCAGCTGACTGCACTCATGTGAAGCAGTGGGAGGGTGCGCAGTTGAGACAGTGGCATGGTCCATTCACAGATTAGACAAAAGAACACTGCTCCTGTCACATGCAGAGGGTCATCTTTTCACAGATCTGCCATGACGAACAACCCAGACAGACACACTTCTCTGCATCACATTGACTTCTTATAGAATTATACATATATTTATATATAGATATATACACAAATTTGTACTTATATACAGGAGTACGCCTGTACATCTCTGTGACATTATAAAAGAGAACTTTGTTGGCTATTGGTGTCCACTGCACACATGGAATAAGACATTAGGTTATTACATCAGCTATGCAAGTATGGGCTTACCACACTACCGAAGCATGCTAAAAAGAATCAACGCTCAATAAAAATGGAGATTCTGGTGTCCATGTAGCGTTAATTAATTAGCTGATGACCGAATAACCAAAAAGAGGCACAGTGTAAAGGGCGTCCTTCGAAAGACCAGGCAAAAGTCTGGAATTTGTGTCAAGATAGAAAAACAAACACGTTTTAACGCATGAAACCAAACAAAAATGCCAAGATGGAGCAAAGAAATGCAAACATGCAACACGCTCCCTATGGAAAAATGTTGTGTAAACGTTGCAGAGGCAAAGTGTTGAGAAGGAAAACAAACTTCCTTCTCCAAAATGTGTTTTGCCAAAGCCGTAGGCTCATCTTTTTGGAAGAATCTCCCTGGAATTACACCGATTCACATAAAAAATGTTTCCAAGTCTCCTTTCTTCTTGTGCTCTCTTATCACCTTCAGAAACGCAATAGCTGCCCTCAACAGGTCTGAACGCCCATGTGCCTGCGCTCATACACTCATACGATACATGCATGTAGTACATTTTCCTGTATGTTGGGAGCAACTCTTTCGCGTCTGGGTGTGTGTAGCTCCTTAAAATCTAAAAATACATGTGAACTCGACAAATTTTAAATATCTGCCCACAAAGATGGGATATTTTGTCTTGAATAGTTATTAAACTACCGTATCTAGATCTAATGAGATTAGGCTAAACAACTAGCTTGTTCAGAAGAACCTACCTACAACTTGTGTTTGTGTGTGTATGGGCATGAGCGTGTGTGTGCGTGTATCTGCAGGTTGGCATGGTGCCACCATTTGGTCAATAGTTATCCAACATGCCATCAGAGAAGAGGTTTTGCACGTCCAACATGGCCGCCAGCTCCAGCACATGTTTCTGTAGAAGGCTGCTCTCCACTATCTCCTGTTTGGGCAGCGGGGGGTACGATTCTGGAAAACTCCCCGCTTCCTGTAACAAGCATACAGAAATATTCTTATCCAGCTGCTCTGTGACAATATCTTGTAAATGTGCTTGCAGCTGTCAGTCAGTGCTCCTCAAACTGTGAAGTATGTAGTGTCACCAGGAGGTATACAATGTGACTCTAGAAAAGTCACAATACTACAAAATAAAATGTATATTTTAATTAAATGACCATTTTTCAGTGCATTATATCTACTTCTAAGTTTAATACAGTTTAGAAATAGATACAGCTTTGTATGTCTAATACTCCACCAGCTGCCTAATTGTAGGATACAAAAATTTTTATTTTAGTATTATCTGTATACTATTACAGTATTTATTAATACCTTATAGGGATAGTTCACCCAAAAATGAAAATTCTGTCATTAAATTACTCACCCTCATATCGTTCCACACCCATAAAATCTTTGTTAATCTTTGGAACAAAAAAAAGTGTTCCGCAGTGGTTCAACCGTAATTTTACGAAGCTACGAGAATACTTTTTGTGCTCAAAGAAAACAAAACTAACGACTTTTTTTCAACAATTCGTCTCCTGATGAAAAATAATGGATTTAGAGCTCAATTTTGAGAATAGCAGCCAACAAATAAATGGAATCAGTCTGTTTCCGAGAACTTTTAAGAGCTGCATTACCTCATATTCAAAAAAATATATTTAATATTTATTCATTATTTAATAGTCATTTATTCTGGTTCATGAGATAAATATGACTATTATCACACAGATCATTACTAATCACACTAATGTGTTTATTATATGAACATAATATTTATTTATTCAGTTCAGTCTCACCCGGAAAAGCTTGTGTAATCGGAGTGTGGTGCAGCAGAACACAAATCGGATCATGAGCAGACGCAAAAATTCATCGCCATAAAATTGCAGATAGGCCTGATCTGGAAGAGAGTCAACAGGAAAATTATGAAATATCTGTCTGTGGCTTGGCCCAACATGTCATTGATATGTAAAAATGTATGTAAGCGTTAAAAAGGGCACATATTGGCATTACCTATAACTCGGGAACTCGTGATCATCTGGCCAATGTCATGGAAAACCTTCCGTAGGAGTTCCTGGGCCTTTTCCCACAATCCATAGCGCATGCTGCTCAGTCCACACACAGACAGGAAGCCCATGAGGGGGTTGTAAAGGAAAAGAGTAAACAGACTCCCACGCTGACACGGGTCTGTGAGTGAGTAAAGAAGAAAACAACAGTTTAAAAATACAATATATACTCAGTATATAAATAACGCATTTTCTACTTCAAAGAAAAAAAAAATGTTAAGCAAATATTAAAGGGGTCATATGATGCGATTTACATTTTTCCTTTCTCTTTGGAGTGTTACAAGCTCTTGGAGCATAAAGAAGATCTGTAAAGTTGCAAAGACTAAAGTCTCAAATCCAAAGAGATATTCTTTATAAAAGTTAAGAGTCAGTCACACCTACCTGAAACGGCTCGTTCTAACACGCCCCCACATACCTACGTCACTATCTGGGAAGCATTTATAATGCCGCCCAAATGTTCACGCAAAGAAAAAAGGCGTAACTTTTATTCTCACTGTAGTATTGTTGTTACCACCGCCATGTCGTGAAGGCACTGTGTGTTTCCTTGTGAAAGCGAAACTACTTTGCTTGGCCTTCCAAAAGAGGATGATATCTGCTTCGTCATGCCTGGAGCTGATCCGTGCTGGTCGCTGAGG